ATAATTTGAGCCAGATTTCAGGATTTATAAAATTCTTTATAAATTTATATATCGCGCACATTTTGATACATATATGTATTTGAATATTCATCTTGTACATCTGTATATTTTTATTCTTCAAACGTTTTGCTTGGAACGGAATATAAAATATTAGATTTAATTACAGCAAATATTCATAAGTTTCATAAATTTTATCTTCATAATTTCTCGTAAATTATTATTATAAATGCATTGTAATTCTTGTGAAATGTCAAAAATAATAAAAAATGACTGAACTGGATCCTGTATGACCTACCTAAGTTTTGCAATTTTTTCAATTATGATAATTATTATTATAATTTAAAAAAGGAGCATAAAACAATGCAGGTTATTAACAATATGTTATATTAAAAAAATTCATAAATATTTATAACTATAAAAACATATACGTTTCAGCTAGTATCTGGCCATCTTCAGTATATTATATTAAATAAAAGTAATAAATAAACATAAAATTTACGCAAAGTACATAATAGAACTTGTATAATAACTGTAGTCAAAGTGATTTTAAAATTCTGACGAATTTCTAAGTTCGATACGATGCTCGATTTCTTCTCAGTAGACCTTGACGAATTTTAACGCAAGATAATTTTGTTTCGCAAATGAATGGACACATAATTCCCAGCTTCTAATAAGGATAATAATTGTATTATTGTTAAATAATTAGTTAGGATTAATATCTATTCATCTAATATTGAACGCATACCTGTGTTCATTGCAAATTAACTTGTTGACTACATTATACAATTAGTTGACTACAGTTATTAGACAAGTTCCATCATGTACTTTGCGTGAATTTTATTTATTATTTATTATTTTTATTTAATATGACATACTAAAGATGGCCAAATACTGGCCGAAACATATGTTTTTATAGTTGAATATTTATGAATTTTTTAATATATGACATACCGCTAATAACAACCTGTTTTTTTATATTGTTTTATTATATTAATTATAACATTTAATTATACCATAAATATAAACGTTTATTTATTTTAATTTTTTGCTGAATCTGAAATTGAAAATTAATTAAATTCAAAAGAAGAAATATTTCTGGAAAAAAAACATTGAAATATTTATACCTTAATTAAAACGCACACGCGCGTTAAAACTTTATTAAATACGCATTGATATACTTTATTTTAAATATATTTACTAATATTTTTATAACAAATTTTAATATTTTTATTAATAACAACTTCACGTAAGTACATAATTATTTTAAACACTATTAATTATAGATATCCTGCAAGAGAAAAAGAATGGACTTATCGTACCAGCACAAAGAAATGCTTTACTGCCAAGCAGCATTACAAACATTCCACTTTAATACCGATTTTGTGATGGAATCATTTGGAATAAATCGCAATAAAAACATAGACACGATTGGGTGAACAAAATTAATTTATTATGTCTGGCAGTAAAGTTGGTTTGTCTTGCACGTTAGACATTTTTTTAGTGATATTTTTGAAACACTTAAAAACTATTCCAGTGATTGCTTAATTATGCTTGATGAAATAAGATATATTTGAAAAAAGATTTATAACATTGCAAAATTTTACTTTCAAAATAATTCTCAGAAATAAATTTATGAAATCTCTCTAGCGTTTCTAAACAATGTATATAGCTTTATTGGACGCTACAAATTACTTTTAAAATCTTAGCTGGTGTCTATATCGCTGCATGAATACATTTATTATAGAATTGTAAGCTTTGCAGTTGCTCATATTTACATTTGCAAGAGCTAATTAAATATCCAGTTGGGGACACATATCCAGGAGGTACACATGTTTAATTAATTAAAACATACGAATTTATTTCAATTTGAAATCGTTCGCTTGGGTAACTTTCGACTTTACATAAATATTTATGTTAATTAATAATTTAAAATAACTAAATAAATATAAACAGACGAAATTTCACATAAAAATATTTTTTTCAAGGATACATTAATTATTTTGTATATAGAAAATGTCGTTATGTGATATTCTTCTCATGAGAGTTGGAATTTAGAAATCATAACAAATTTAAAAGATGTATTGCGTTAAAATAACATTTCCTTATTAATAACAGAAATCAATAAAAAATTTGTATTTGTATTTTAATTACGATCATTCCCAATAATATCATACCTAATTTTGGATTCTGATTCGATTTGGAACAGTTAAATGTCTTCTGATGGAAACGATCAAGGATACTTGCCAATCTGTGAATCTTATTCCAAAAAGAAAAATAATTCTTGATTCTTTTTTATGATTCCGTTATAAATGCGTTCTTTCTAATTTCTAAATTAGAGTGATCAATATCACTGACTCAAATATTCCAACTAAAACAAATAAAAATAATTTTAGTATCGACTGTACATTTTATTAAAATTTCGATTATATATATATATATATTTAGTTTAGAATTAGTAAAAAATGACGTTGTTGCATAAAATAACGATTAATATTAGGTTTTTCACCTCCGCTGCTACGTTTTATGGTCTTATAAATATGAAAGCAATTAACAACAAAAGCGATTAACAATTCAAGCCATTCTATTTCATATTTCTCTCCGACTTTTTACCTATATTTGTCGTCTTCGCATAATTAAATTCGCGCCATTATTATCGTGCCTCGTAAAACAAAATATTTATATGAGACGAAAGAATATCATTAAAATATACCATCATATATACGATTTTATATCATTATTATGTAATGACGGATATTACATAATTTCTTCCTCTGATATTTCTTTAATTCATACTTTTACAAGATATAACTTCGTATATATTAAGAATAATCAAGAAAGAACTATGATCTTTCAATCGATTTAGAACCGGTTGTTTCATCTTCTTTCGCTACATCTCATAAATTATGTAATAATTTACTAATTAGATAAACAAAAGAGTAAAAGAGTAAGAGCATAAGAGAGTAAGAGAATAAGAGTGAGTTGAAATTTATCGAAAGGTCGAATCTAGCCTAAATCCTTTGATAATTAATTTCTCACCATTAAATATATTTAATGAAATAAATTACACTATGTTCGCAAACTACTCATATAATAAGCGGAAGAATTACACATATATAAGAAATATATAAGAAATAACAGATTGGATTTCGAAATCCATCACCACTGCTATAAATTTATAGTTTACGTTACATGCACTATAAATTTTCAGTACTAGTAGTGAATTTTGAAACACAGTTACAATAGAATCAAATAGTTTATCAAAGAGAAATTAATTGAAACATTACTTCAATTCATTTAATTAATAAGCACAAAACTGAAATATATAATTGGTTTAGAAATATACTTACAAATTCATTTTCGACAGTATGTATACGTTTTATTGTATTGTCTAAGTGATCAACTACTTTAATTTCAATCGCTCGCAATCGCAATTAAAAGATATTAAACGTAAGATATTAAAAAATAGTAAATCGCTATAAACGATAATATGATAAAATAAACTTATCTTACCATATCGATAATTAGCATTCACAGAATATGTGAGTATTAATGATTTCATAAAAAATGTTAATTTATTCTTTTTCAACAATTGTTTTTCAAGATAAATTGTCTATATTATAATCTATATTATCTTCAAAAGAAGAGGGGAAAATTGTAGCGTGTTCGTTTAGTGTGTATTAATGTATGTTAAAAATTAATATTTAATTTATATTCATTTGTTATAATAATATTATAAATTAAATTTATAATGTGATCTTTTAAATGATATTAAAAGTAATAGCATATTATTAAAATCTTTTAAATGTCAAAAAATTTTAAAAATGAAATCAGGACGGGAAGTCTCTCTCTCTCTCTCTCTCTCTCTCTCTCTCTCTTGTGGAAAACAAATTATAAAAAATAGAATTTTATTAATATGCGTATTATAAACTTATTATATCTAAAAATTTATTATATACAAAATAAAAATACATGCAATATCTACCAAGTAATATATAATTCAACAAAAAATTTTTAATGATCCTCTTAATAATTTAAACGTATTTTAATAATTATTGTTTAAATATATTGAAACTTACTTATAAATTATAAAAAATTTAGCATATGCATATCATGCATATCATGTTCCACTATTGAAAAAATAATGTAATTTATGTGTAAATGATATTGATTACTGTTATAATTACAAATTGGGTTAATGTTTTTATATTAAAATAATCATTGTATATATAGTCTAATACCCAATAAAACCAATGTGTGATACTTACGAAAAAGCTAGTACAACTACATTGCGATAATAATTAATTTATATGTCAGATACAATTAACTGCATTTAACAAATTATGCACATTGCCAATAGAAAGCCAATTAAATTACTAATAATAAATGTTAAAAGTCACTAATTCTCTATATTATTAAACATTAAATCCGTATTCACATCTCACTTTTATTGACGTGCGTATTTAATATATTGTTTATATGTGCTATAGAATCTCATAAACAAATATGTGCATCTATCGATAAAAATGAAGTGGGAATACGGATCTTTTAGTTTTAGACATAATTCGCTAACAATTAAGCAATCAATGATCATTCCTACAACATTTAATAGATATCTTTTGAATTTGTACTCAAATTTCATTAAATTACTCATCATCAAACCTTTTTAACTTAATTTTTATTAATTTTAGGATAATTTAACATATAATATCACGAAAACTAACCCATCTTGATTAATATAAATGAAAAAAAATCATATCTCGATATCATATCAATATATCCCAAGTTATATATATAAATACGTATTTTATTTTATTAAAACTTTTTTTAATATCAATTGTCTAAATTCATAATGCATAAATCCCTAGATTACTTTTCGATATCATTTCCAATATTAAATGCATAAAGATGAATTAAAAAATTATGAAACATTCTTCGAATTCATTTTTTATCATTTTAATTTGTTCTAGTAATGAATTAAAAATAATAAGAGCTAAAGTATATCAAGTTAAAATTTTATAAACAATATTATTATACAAATTGATTATATATTTTTGTTTGAATAACAGACATAAATAGAAAGAATTCAATTGTGCTAAAAGTATGGGAGATAAATGTAAGAATTAGATAAATGTTCTATGTAACGATAAAATTTTATTTATAAAATTAAATAAAAACACTTCAATATTTTAATAAAAATTGATTGATGTTGTGTGTGTGTTTGTATCCATGCCATATCGCACAATCAATAAACCTGCCAGAAATAAAACAATTTATTATTCATAAAGCTATAAATTTTTAATACGATATTTGATACTAGAAGTTATTTATCAGATAGAGCTAATAACAAATCACAACGATTCATGCGAAAGATGGTAATAATTAAATCATCATTACAAGTACATTTAAGTAAAAAATATGGAATACAAATTATACTTACCATATACATTATTTTGTACTTGTATTAATTTATTGTTCCCAAAAAAATTATCTCAAACTTTTGCACAATGTTTAACTCTTTAATCAGTTTTTCGTAAACCAAAGCATATAATATAAAAACAGATTCACATCAAGATATCTATAACGAGTCAACGCTCTTAGAATCATAAATCATCCTTATTTTTTCTGTAATATATAAACAATACAATTATTTACGATACCTATTTAATATTCATTCATATATACACATTAATTTTTAATCTTCGCTCAGTGGTAGTGACGAATTATATAAACATATCACAATTAATTTTCAAAATTATAGAGATATACATCATTGATATACATTAAAAATATTTAATAAATTTAAAACTTATACAAACTTATCATATATTTGAAAGATACTCCTTTTTCTCAACTCGTCTAAAATATAAAATAGTATCGCATTTAGAGATCTATTTCAATTTTAATATTTAATACATAATGTAAATACTTAATATAAATACGTAAATAGAGAAAGATAAGACAAATAATATTAAATGATCAAGATAATTCATGAAATATGAAATTGTGTAATTTATAATATGCATGCATTATAAAAAATTAATATACAAATTATATAAAAAAAAAAATCTTTAATAAATCTAAAACATACACGAACTTACCATATTTAAATACCTTATTTAAAAACCCATATAGCACAAATATCCAATGAATATTCTGAACATTCGCAAGAATATCTTTGCGATGAAGTGTGCTGTATGAAAAAGTATTTCTTTTTTTCAATTTGTCGTGTGAGACATCTGAAATATAAAAAATAGTATTTAAAGATCTATTCAGATCTTAATACATTTAATATGAATACACTAACAATATCAGATAGGAGCGAAAGACAATAATATAAGGAATCGTCAAGATAATTTCAGTTGAACTATGCAGTCATCATGTAATTGTATAATGTGCATAAATTATATAAAATTCATATATAAAAATAAAAATCTAAGTATATACCTTGAATGTAGACTGCGCCATATTTCTATCAGAGAATTAAATTTTTCTCATATGCAATTTGTCATAAGTGCTGCTAAATTGCAGTACCTGTAATAAAGCATAAAAGTTTATTACAACTAATTAAATAAATACAAATAATACAACTTAATTAAGGAGATAGTCAGTACTGCAGGACGTTTTCGTCATTAAATCCGATAAATAAATCATCATATCATTAAAATATCAATAAACAAATAAAAATCATAAATTACTACACAATATTCTGAGAAAGTAGTAATCATACATTCTAGAATAAAAAATTAAAAAATTTCTTTTGTAAAAATTTAAATTTCAAATAGAATAATTTTTTTTTCATCGAAGCCAGATCTAAATAAACTTACCATTTCATTATTACATATTCAAAGTTTCTTAAATTTTGCCTGAACAAAGATTCTCGGAACATCAATATTCTCCTTTAAATTTACTGTACGTCTCTGTATGTAGTCACAATCTAATGTTTGAAAACCGACAGATTCAAATAGACATGCTACTTGTTCTATAGAGAAATAATAACTCCTGAAAAATATGAATATATTGTTATTATTTTATATAAACAGGGTAGGAACGTGTTATGTGCTAGTAGAATCAAATTCAAAAAAATTTATTTTATTGTAATCAAGTGAACTATGAAAACATATTTTTTTATTTGTGCGAGTAACAAAAAAAAGTATAAAATCACCTGGTTCCATCTTGCCGCATATAGAGATTCTCACTGATTTTGTGCCCAGGTTTAAAACGTAATTGTGCCATATCATACAACCCGTAATCTCTAAAGAGCAAGATTCCTCCACTACCAAGAATGTTGTATATATTTTGGACAACTCTATTATAAATATACAATTAGTTATCGCAAAATTGAACAAATTGGAATCTTACAATAATATTAGAGCCGCATTTTTACAACAGTATTATTTTATTAATGATTTTTTTATTAAACGTACTTGTGAAATTTATCAGGATGAATAGCTGATAATACAAAGATCAAAGTTGCAACATCAACTGAATAATCAATTTCAGCAAAACAGTTTTCTAACGTAATATCTGCTTGAAAAGCTTTCATTGTTTCCGGATCGAATAACGTATGACTCTATAAGGAAATGAAAACTATTATTAACGCACCGGTTCGCAACTTGAGCCAATTTACAATTATAATCCGAAACAACAACATTAGTAATTTCTAATTTTCAATTTTCTTGAAACTCTAATCGCATTTGCCTCTATTAAATTAATTTGACGTATTGTTTCAATCACTGAATTATTCTGGCTAGATCTTCATGTGTGCTTGCATAATTTTATAATTTTACGGAGTGATTCTATATATTCAACTAATTTTATTATCATTACGGACAAATTGCGACTGATATAATAGAAGAATGTACGAAGATAACAAGATTGAAAGCATTGCATTGTTGCGACTGAAAAGATATGAAGAAATAGGTCCATCATAACTATACTTTGCATAACTATAATTTGCAGAAATTGTATTTAACGTTTTATGATTTTTATTAAATTTGCGTTAATTTATCGACATACACTGAGGATGACACTGACCTGACAAATAGATCGAAACGTATGTTTTTAAGAATTTAAATATACAAAAAATTTGGCTCTTTGCTCTTCTGTTATTCATTTTTATTTAAAATCTGAAAGCGAATATACCTTTAATAACTCGATCGCCCTTGTGGATAAATCGCATACAAATATTCTCCGAAAGTTCAATCCGTCCTCTATCAATGGATAAACGAAATTGCCGACCCCACAGCCCACCTCGAAGAGGACATTTTGATTTCCGTTGCCGCCCAAACCCAGCAACTCATCGAATTCCCGCGTGGTCCAGTGTCTATCTTTGAAGAATCTGGTATCGTTCCGCTTGTAAAACAAATCCCAGTGCTTTTTCGCGTCTCTCTCAAGCTGATTCGCGTGAAATTCAGTCACCAAGCGAGAATCCTGCGCCCGCATTTTATTGATTTCCTCCGGCGTGAGACGCTTTGCCACGTGGCCCACGATCGATTCAGCATTTTCAACATATTCGCTCATTCTTTTCTACCAATTATATTATCGAACCGATTAATTAAATTTACAGCGCGAAATTTATTGTATCAGAAGAAATTCATGCGATATTTCGACAAAAAGGAAAAGAAATGCTTACCAAGATAGAGGACGCGTTGAACCTTCCTCGTTGAAACGCCGGAAGAAAATGGACGATGAAATGTTCGACGTGGAGTCAAGAAGAGCGGGATAATCTTTAGATGAAAAGGCAACATTGCATGCGCTGTTGCCATGATAAAAGTAGCCCACGTGACATCACGTGATATTTAGCGGTAAATTTGAAGGTTAATATACAATCCGAAGAAAATAGCTCTTTACAATATTATATATAAGCCAATTATATTTAATATTTTGTTTAAAATTAAAAAATAAATATATGTATAACATTTGTAAAATTAACAAAAGTAATTAATGAATTTAAAAATTAAAATCTAAAAATTAAAATAAAAGCAATTTTCTATTTTTATTAACTAAATTATCAATCCACGCTTTTGTTGAATGTAATATTAGAATAAAAGATGATCAGAAATTGCTATAATAATCAATAAAATAAAATATTATAATAAATTAAAACTAATAATGTTTTAAACATTTCTTTACATCAGTGACATAAATATTTAAATATTCATCTTTTTTTAGTCTTTTTGCAGATATAAATGTCTTTTTTTTATAACATGACATAAATTACAATATAATAATAATAAAAAATTTAATTTTAATGATTGACTAATAAATATCTTTATTAATTGTTAATGATAGAACTTTAATATGATTATTTATTTAATTTAATTGAAAGTAGAGATGTATGAGAACTTGTAATCATAAATCTTTAACAAAAACTGTATCGAAACCTATGTACGATTCTTATATTTTATTAATACGTTATTAATATAAATTTTATAACAAAATTTGAATAATTTAATAAATTGATTTAATGCATTGTATTGCTTGACAAAAAGATTAAATAAGCTCCTCTTTGAGCATGATGTCGGTATGAATTCCACGCAAACACATTTTGTTTCATTAACATGCAGAACCCATAGGGGACAAATATTTTATGCCACCGTATAACATTGGCACACAGTGACACACTATTAAAAGGGGCTAGACGTGACTGAAATTCAGTCAAGTAACTGCGTATCACTCATGGACGATGAAAACAAAGAACGTATATGATAACGCAAGTATCAAGACATATCGTTATAAATATTAATGAAACATCTGAAATCACCATACGATCGCACATAACGTTTCAATTGATTGCTTTCATTTTACGTAGCACGTGTGGGAATTTTCCACATTATTTAACGCATTTTACGTTTCACGAGGAACTCATAATGTGCAAACCGAGCGCGGTCGAAAGAAAATGAATCGATTGAGTAGTATGTAGGTCATTGCAGACCACAATTTTGTAGAGAGCTTCGCGAGAGATGTAACAACCATAGATTACCTGAATGGAATGAGAAACACGTTTCACAATTTGCAGTCATTAATGCCCTGTGTTACTATGTCATTCTATAGTTTTCAGCGAGGCCATCTTTTGCAGCCGCTTTATAATCGTATATTTTGCCCTGATCGTTAAAAAAAATGTCCCAATTAAAATTGCACTTTTATCGAATGATATATGGCAAATAGAATTTATCGTATGATTAATTTTGACTATCAATTTTATTGATTTCTTCGTTATTAATCTTGTTGTTTTATATATCTATTAAACGCACGCATCGATTTAAATTATTATGTTGAAACTTTAAATCGATCAGCAACAAATGCTGTTCAGATTTGTAAAATGTAAATTAACAATTCTGTTTTAGACAGATGAAACGATTAAAAAAATGGAACCTCTGTAAACGAATTTATTAATCAAGACAATATATAATAGAACCTTTTTTAGAAATTAAAAATAAATATTTTCGAATTTATAACATTAAAAAATTTCAATCATTTTTGTTGTATTTTATACAATAATTTTAAAAATGTTCGAATCATTAGCTTTTAAAAATAATGTTTGTAAGAGTAAACCTGAAATAAAAACTTTTTTATTTTGTTTACAATAAATTACTATTATTTGTATAAGAAAATTTTGAAATTGGGTGAAAACAAAATCGCATGTATTCTAAATCTATGAAATTGAAATTTCAAAAAAGTTATCACCGTATTGGTAAGTCAAAAATAAATGAATCGAAAGATCAGTACGTGACTAGATAGAGGACATTTCTAAATGTATATCATAATTAAAATAATTTGAAATATTTCTTGCTACACTGTTTTGAAAATGCAGTTCTGAGAAAAATATTATTTGTTAATCGATTTTATAATTATAATTATTGACATAATAATATGAAAAATAATATTTATACATAAGTACATGTGTACATATTTTGGAAAAATTAACAATTTTTTTAGATTTATAGCATCCTAATTAAAAGTTGTTTAAATGATTAAATTTGATACAAATAAAAATATTGATATTAATTTATAACCATAGGATGTCAATTTCTAAGAAATAGAATACTGTAAGAATTTTTATTTTAACTTTTAATTACTTTTTAATTTTCTTATTTCAATTTTAATAACGTTATAAAGAAGGATATTAAAAAGAAAATTGATCGAAAAAGTAATTAAAAGGAATAATGTTTATTATTATGTAAATTTTAACCTTCTAGATACACAAAATTATTAAAAAGTTTGAGAAATACGAAAATTTAGCAAAAAATTTGAATAAATACATCATGTTTGTGTTCTATTTTCGAAGTGTTTCCCAAATGCTTCAAATTTTTTAATAATTTTGTTGTGTTCAGGAGATAAAAATTTACAAAAAAATTATTCCTGTTATTTATACTCTTTTAAGTTAATCTTTTTTTAACATCCTTCTTTAAATGATTACTTTCACATATGTGTATGCGGTTGTGTAACTATTGAAATTTTATATGACGTTATTAAAATTGAGATAAAAAAATTAAAAAATAATTAAAAATTAAAATTAAAATTCTTATAGTATTTTTAGAAATTAACATCCTATCGGTTATAAATTAATATCAGTATTTTTATTTGTATTGAACGCGAATAGTCAGAAGACCAAATTACAAGAATAATTCGTGTTGGAGAGCTACCGACCTCTACCGAATACATACCTACATATATAATCGGTAGTGTGGTAAATATCGGATTTGCATTACATTCGCTAGCATACGCTACGTGATTTTATTTCGATATCATTACTCGAAAATTTATTTCGCTAATTAGCTGACCGTCATAACCCACTAAAGCACGCCTTCGCATCAGCCTCTATCCGGGATACCTTGCGTGGTTAACGAGCAACAGCATGGGATGCATAATCATAAAAATAATCCTCATTTTGTGGACGTAGAGAAAGAGAGAATGAGAGGGAAGGAAAGAGAGAAAACTCTCGCGAAATTGAACGCACTCTGGCTCTCACGAGAGCGATCAAAAGATTATCCGAACTTCTCCCGTTACCAATGCGCGTTACTACGCTTCAACGGGTCTCAGTGCGATTTACGCAGTTTCAAATAATCCTACTAACGTTTCTATTAATGCTGTGATGGATCCTTTTTGGAATTTTTCCGCGGGATGAATTGCAAAGATTAGCTGTGGTCATTGTTATCTGTAAATCCTTATCAGCTCGTTGGAGAGAGGGAAATGAATAGTTACTTTGATATGCCTACAGTAGAAAAAGAATGAAAAATTTTCCCAAAAGTAATAAAAATATATATACCTTTTATTATTCTTAGGCTTCATTTTTAATGGTGAAAGTTTGAATCAATTAAAAATCGATCTTTCCTTAGCAAAAATACGAGAATTCATTATATACTCATTTTACTTTTCAATCTGTAACATATCATCTTGGCAATTAAGATCTAAATTAGAATTTTATTAAAATAAATTATATTTAAAATTTACCAGTAATGTAATTTTGCAAATTATTTAATTCCCTGTTTAATTTGTGAGAAAATCGTCTATTTTAGTTGCTTAATAATTACAAAGTTATCGATATCTCGATATTATGACTAGAGAAATATCATATCTAAACTACTTAAGAATCTAAGTATCACATTAATGATGCATAACAAGTGGAACACTTTCTCTATATCATATAATAAAAATATTTTAAAATATTTATAGCAGAGATAATATGTACATATATATTTATATCGCGTATGTTTATGTCATGCATTGCATGTCAATAAACCTAATAATTACTTATGTTTCATGAGAAAAATCTGTACAATTGTTTATATTTGTGCAATCCCGTAGGCGTTTCCCACAATTTATGTAATCGTATTACACGCATGGTCTACGAAATGATAATTACTTCTCACAGTCAAGTGAAGCACGCTATGAATAGATTAGATCGTATTACGTTTCTATTGACAAAGACCGCATCTCTGACATAATAAGTTTTGTTGATTCGTCGATTTATAACCAAAATTTGACAACTTTATGATATTTAAGAATATGATATTATATATTTTAATTGTACCATTTTTGTAAATATCTTTCACAAATATCCCGCACATTAATATTTTAAACTATTTTAAAATAACTAGCTTTCTTATTAGCTTTGAATTAAAATACAGTGTTAACATGTAATTAATCATCAATAATATAAAATCATATAGATATTTTTCCTTTCCTTAAATTGCTCAACGTTGCTCGTGAAATTTATTTAATCAACAACAAAAATAATTAATAACAATTATTATATGATATTATAATTATTAATACATTTATATTTATCTAATAAAATATAAGAATGTCACCTGCTGAATGTACTTGATATAACAAATATTAATTCTTTTAAAGTCATTTAAAGTGTATAGACAATAATGACTCACGATCGAAGAATTCATTTAAAAACGCGCCGTATGGAAAAACATACTCATATTCCACATCTGAAACTTCAACTTTTCGTAGCTCAGTCGCTTACTTTACATAACTGCAAAGTTACAAAATTACGAATACCAGAGGCGATACTGAAATCGGACGGCGATACTGATTTCGTTATTTGCTGCAAGTTTTTAATTCGTGCATTGCCCGTCTATAATACACCACGTTAATATGTTCAGCAAACACATTTTAAAATATAAATTGACATTAAAAAATTTAAGCTGTGTGCTAAATAAATAATTCTAAGCAGTTT